AAGCCGCCTTTTTTCGGGATCGTTATTGTTCGTGGAACTTTAGTCTTCTTAATTTTAAATGTTTTTCGCGCGACAGCTACACATTTTTTAGTTAATTTCATCAAGTTTTTTTCACCGATATTTTTCTTTATAACGTTTTTACTTGCTTTAAGTGCTGCTTTAAACCCACAACCTCCGCCTATTTTACGTTTTGTTTTCATAGCGGTAGTCACACCCCAAGCCACAGCTTTTTCTTTTAAACTAGAATCTTTTGACTTGAACCTATCCCAGGCTCGCTGCTCTAATATATAATCGGCTTTGTTTCGATCTGCGATAGAGTTGCTATGTTCGTATGCAATATCGTGATCTCTACAAGCAGAGTCCAGAGGGTTTATACCTTTATCACCATGTGCTAATCGTTTTTTTAAATTTGTACCAGGTCCACAGTATTGATAACCTAGAATATAAAATTATTATTGTATATATTATAATATTATAAGGTTTATATATATAATACCAGGTACGTGAAGCTCGATTGGTAATTTGTTTATAAGCGTGTTGATAAGTCCACTGCCCTTATTCTTGTTGCTTCTTCGAGCGAGTGACATTGTGTACTGATTGATTTATCATAGTTGATCAGTTATTTATATAAAAAATGAAGTTCATCAAACAAGAAATAAAACTAACAGTTGAAAACGTGGACCCGCCTACATCAGATCAAAAACACAGACACGGAGCGCTTCTACCAAATACGATACGCGCGCTTATCGTGGGCCCTTCTGGCTGCGGAAAAACAAATTTAATTTACACATTATTAACCAATATAAACGGAATACGATTTCAAAACGTATACATATATTCGAAAACATTGGATCAGCCTAAATATAAAATGCTTAGCGATATATTATCAGACATTGATGGAATACAATTATTCACGTTCTACGAAAATGAAAAAGTTATAGCACCTGAAGAAGCTTTGCCAAACTCTGTATTTATTTTTGACGATATTATTTCTGAAAACCAAAATATTGCAAGAACTTACTTTTCCAGAGCTAGACATAATTTAATAGACGTTTGCTACCTGGCTCAGAGTTATTCAAAAGTGCCAAAACAACTTTTGCGTGATAACGCTAATTTTATTGTGTTATTTAAACAAGACGAAACTAATTTAAAGCATGTATACAATGAGCATTGCTCTGGTGATATGTCATATTCAGAGTTTAAATACTTTAGTACATCGTGTTGGAGTCGGGGGAGATTCGAGTTTATCGTAATAAACAAAGACTGTGAACGTGACAATGGTCGATATCGCCTCGGATTTGACACATTCGTCGTTATATAAAGTGTTGTTTTTATGAAAACACCACATTCACAGACATGGCTTCTAACGGTGAGGTACTCGGAGAATTGATTAAAGCCAAAGAAAATATTAAACGCAAGTATGAAGCATTAAAACACGGAAAAGCTGATATTCACTCAATAGTATCAGAAACATTAAGTCCGATTATCGAACCATTAAACGAAATAAAACATTTAAATCCTGCAACATTTCAAAACCCACCCACGGAACTTGGAAAAGACTCTCAAGATTCTCAATATTTTGAAATAAACAATACAGACGATTCGTCAGATTTTAAAATAAACGACTGGTTTAAGTCTTACGATATAGACAAAACGTATGGACCAAAAATACGATCAAACGGAAGTGTATATTTGGGGAAAAAAGAAATTAATCTTGTCGGGAATAAATTGATTATTGAAGATACTTCATACCCGTTAACACAAGGGCTTGGTAATTTAGTGTTTTCAAAATCTCCAAAATTCTACACCAAACATGATTTAGAATCATATAAATCTATATTAATTCAAACATCAGCGCATCTAAAAACAGATGGAAAAGAAATTAAAAAAGGTGGAAATAAATATTATGATATAATCCAAAATTTATTTCTAGCGGGTAGAGGTCTATCTTTGAAATTACAAAAACATAGTTTAGTTTACTGGAACGATCCTAACGAACTAGTCGATAGATTGCGGTTACTATTAGCGTCAAAAGCGGCTGGTAATACAGGTGTTTCGAACGAAATAATATCCATTTTTGAAGAACTGCAAGAAGCGGGTATAATAAAACGTATTCCAAATGTCTAAACGCGAAATTGCGAACGAACTACACAAACCTGTTAGAAAAAATTATACAAGACGTAGAGTTAATGTTTATGGCAAAAACGATCTGTGGCAGGCCGACTTGGTCGAAATGATACCATATTCAAAACAAAACAAGGGGTACAAGTATATTTTGTGCGTCATAGACTGTTTTACAAAGTTTGCTTGGGCCATAGAATTAAAATCTAAAACTGCTATAGAAGTTTCAAATGCAATGTCTAAAATACTGCTCACACGCACACCAAAACTATTACAGCTCGATAATGGTAAAGAATTTTACAATGCTACATTCGACGCATTGATGAAAAAGCATAACATACACAAATATTCAACGTTTAGCATCATGAAAGCATGCATTATCGAACGTTTCAACCGCACATTGAAAGAAAAAATGTTTAGAGAGTTTACGGCACGCGGTTCACACGAATGGATATCAATTTTACCTTCATTGATTAACGAGTACAACAACTCAAAACATAGGACAATAGGTATGACACCAGTGCAAGCTGATGCAGATCCGGCGTCTGTCGTAATTAAACAACGAAAAATTATTAATGGAACAATCAAATTTAACGTTGGTGATAACGTTCGTATAAGCACATATAAAAGTGTATTTACAAAAGGATATTTACCTAGCTGGTCTACAGAAATATTCAAAATTGTTAAAATTAACGAAACATTACCTACTACTTATCAGCTACAAGATTATACTGGAAAACCGATTGCTGGTTGTTTTTATTCAGAGGAAATATTGAAAACAAACTATCCGAATGACTATTTAGTGGAGAAAATTATCCGTAAGAAGGGGGAGCAAATTTTTGTCAAATGGCTAGGGTTTGATAATACACACAATAGTTGGATAAATGTACGTGACATTAGAAAATAGTGTTAGTCTAGCTACAGACATGAACGTGTTCGGTAGTTCTCAGTCTAGTGAAACTAATAATTTTTTAGTAAATCTCGAACAAATTGTTAAATCGTATTCGAATAAACTCGATAAAATTGAGCATTTACTCGAAGAAAACCATAAATCCATACAAATTCAAGAGGAACAAACAGAAAAGTTAGAATTAACGTGCATAGAGATTACAGAGCTTATGACAAGAGGCGAAGTATCATTACAATATATCAAAGAAACTATAGGCGAGGTTAAAAAAATAATACCATCTATACTGAGCCGTCTTAACACTATAGAAACTTATTATAAAGGCAAGTCATAATGTCTTCAGCCATATTGGACATGCAATGCATACTCGGCGTCAACAATAAATATATGATTAAAGAAATGTCTATAGTAGACACGTTTACATGGGCGACCCAACACTGGATTTTTAAACATTCAAAATCCATAGAGGATAACAAAAGTCGTAAAACCAACAAGTGGCTGGAACGTAATTATCATCAACTAGCTATAGAATTTGGTGATGTCGAGTACGAAGAAGTAGGTAAAATATTGAATTCATTAAAATTCAGTTGCATCTACGTCAAAGGTGAACAGAAAAAACAAGTTCTTATGGAGCATATACCACACGTTGCACTCATCAACATTGAAGACTTAGGCTGCCCTCGTTTGGATCAAATATGTGATGACGAAACTCTACCTTGCTGTATTTTTCATATGGAATTTAATCCTAAGCAATGTACATTTTATAAAGTTTTTGCTATAAGAAAATGGTTTATAAATAATTCTTAAAGTTTTTTGTATACATTTTATTTAATAAATATAATAATATTATATTTTAACATTGTTTTTATTTATATGCTAACATATATACATACATTTATATATGTTACCATTTACAAGGTTTTTTAATTAAATATATTGACTTCCATCTACCTGAAACAGAAAAACATGAACATTTATACAAAAAAAAAAAAAAAAAATATTATAAGAAAACATTGTAAACTAACTTACATATCTAGCAAAAGCATACGGTATATTTACAGAGTATTTACAAATTATACAATATAAAAATTATACATTTACATGGATATTTATAAAGGTGTTAATACTACAAATTTATACACTAATCTAATACTCGTATTTTACAAAAATATTTACAAATTACACAATAATTTATTAACAAGTATTTACATTATATAACAATTAATAGGATAATATTTACAGAGTATTTACAAATTATACAATATAAAAATTATACATTTACATGGATATTTACATGGATATTTACAAAGTATACATTATAAAGGTGTTAATACTACAAATTTATACACTAATCTAATATTTTACAAATTACACAATAATTTATTATCAAGTATTTACATTATATATAACAATTATTAGGATAATATTTACAAGTTATTTACATTAATCAATATAATATAACAGTTAATAGAGTAATATTTACAATAATCAATATATATATATAACAAAAAAAAAATGTACAGTATGTAAACTTAGGTTAGGCACTGTAGAAGGTCTCTCATTAAGCCTTTCTCTTCCTCGTTCCAGTCCCCCCCCATAAAATCTAATTCCGGCCAATCATCCTCTGGTTCATCTTCCCTGTAAAATTAAGAGAAAATGTTAGTAAAATAATTTAAATATATATTTTGTAATAACTTACTCTATACTATAATGTCCATGGGCCAGTGTGTGTACTTTATCTTGCAGCACCATCCTCTTATCATCATAGCTGTTATATGCTAATTTTTTCCTCTTAATCGTCATGAGTTGATGTTTGAATGACCGTATTGACACGTTATCCTTATACGCCTCCACGCCAGCTTCTCCAAATAAACATTTCTTGTGGTCTTCCAATGTCATGTGGTTCTTAACCACATGCTGCCTTATCCCCTTTGCTTTAATTTTTTCACCACCAACTTTATCCTTGTCGTCCTTATCTCTCACCGCATCCTCTTCTCCTGCATATACATTAAAAGCGTAGGACTTTGCCCTCAATGCACAAAATTCGGTGATTATATCAGCATCTACTTCATCTGAGAAGTACCCAGGTTCCTTCTTTCTAACTGCAACATAACAGGGATGATCACTGGGTAGGTTAGCTGTATCCATTCGATCCAACAAGCTGTGATTAGCTGCCAAGTCTTCATAAAAATCAGTAGTTTTAATATGGTATATCAACGAATCTAAAAATAAAAATAAATATAATATATGAAAATTAGATAAGTTTTAATATATTTACCTGTATCAGTGTACATTAGCTTAATTTTATCCCTATAGTGCTTCTGCATAACATTGTAGTGATAGTCATACATCAACGTCTTACTGATATCCAGCACTGAAAATCCTATAGAAAATAAATGTATTATATAATTTAAAAGTATATTTAGCAATATAATTTAAAAGTATATTTACCAATATATATAGGTTTGTCAAATTTAATTATCTTATTCTCCAACGCTACTGCATTGAGGTTTTCATTGTAATTAGTGCAGTGTTTAAAAGTAGTTTTATTAATACATTTCTGTAACCTCCTCTCACAGGATACCAACTCTATTTTCAGCTGTTTTCGTTTCGATTCCATAGTTTTTCCTGCACAATAGTAAATTTTTAAAAAGTTTTAAAAAGTTTTAAAAGTTTTAAAAATTTAAAAGTAACCTACCAAATACAGCGTTATTCATCAATTTAAAGAAGTCTTTCTCAAATGCGTTCCTAGCCTTTTTCCTCATTTCGGTGTTTAAATCTATATATTTAGCCAACCAATCTGACTGGTTAAACTGTATCACTCTATGTACCTATACAAAATAAGAGAAATGTTAAAAATCTGTTTAAAATCATATAAAATACAAATATTTACTTTTTCAACTATCAAACCATTCTTAATGGCCTGCTGTAGGTTCCTATAATGTACGATGTAATTCTCCTTTTTCTCAAATGTCGCCATCAACTTCCTAACCTTCGAGCCTCGAGGCACGCTGTTTTGCGGCAGGAAAGGCAGGTCGTTATGTCCGTTATGCAAGTGTCTTGGATACGACACGTCCACCTCATACACTCGTCCTATGGGTGAAGTGTCGTCTAAATCGTTCAACCCATTCAATGTAGGTTCAACCCAGTTGAACCCACCGTACGGCATGTACTGAGACATTGCCCACCCGTACAAGTTGTTACCTATAAAATTTAAAAAATATTATTAAGTAAGAAAAATATTAAAAAGTTTTGAAAAAAATATACTCACAGTCCTGATATATGATCCACGATTTCTCCTTCGTTTCGTCATACCCCGGAGTCTTTACATTGTTCGCCATCGCATATCGCTTGCTCGCCTGCACCAATCCCCCACGTATACCTATAACAAATATATAAGATTATTAAATACACATTTAAAAAATAATATACTGACCATTTTCGAACATCAACAACATGTCGTAATCATGCAATAACTGAAGCTTTTGCCCCGTGAACTTAAGCATCGCATCGAAACTTAAGCCTGGGGCGGTGAAATAATGGGCGGCGTCCAGGTTATACGTCTTCATACACAAGTCGCGGAAGTTCTCAAAAACATCCGCCAGCAGTAACACGTCAATTTTCAGGTACAGGTCGGAATAATCACCGAGCGTCCTACAGTTAAAATGACTCCATACCTGTAACACACAACAATTTTCAAATATAGATCTAAATACGTGCGAAGTGTATACATACCTCCTTAGCATGGTCAAATTCGCTCTCCTTAATCCCGGTCTCTGTTAACGTACTGTAAAAGCTGCTCTTACTCGGTAACCTAGTATCCTCTATCCGCTCCCAACTATCCGTGTACTCGTACGGGTACACCCCCTTACGAGTCACGAGCGGCATATCTCCGGTGACAAAATGTTTGGCTGTCTCACGGAATTTCTCATGTTCGGGTGTAAGCAAATTTTCAGCCAGGGACGACAGACTCGACGCCATAAACCGAAACGTGTCGATAAACCGAACAGTGAAGGTACTACTTATATATTTCGAAAAAGATATATATTTCTCTTCACTGTTCGGTATAACGTTGATAGTCTTAGTATCATACCCAAGTTCAGTGATTATGAAGTGCGAGTCGTAGTTTGTGAGATTATGAAAAAAGACAGGTACAAATTTAGGCTGTTGCAACTCTAAGTTACACCTAGAGCACAAGGTCTGCCTAAATTTGCCTGTCAAATGATCATGATCCCTAACCTTATCGCCCCCGACTAATATACATTTGCATAAATTACACTTAATACACTCTTGATGTGTTTTTTCTTCACCCTCAGCCATTTTTAACGGAATATTCGTCTTCATGAGATTTTCAATTTTCTGGGCCACCTCAACTATCGCCTCCACAAAATGTCTCGCTACGTCCGTCCTGTCTTCGCTGCCTCTGTAGATTACCGGCCCCGCCGGTATCTGGTGTTGAAGCAATAACTCTGCCGGTACGTCATCGCTCGCTTTCACCAAAAACCCATAACTCATAGCTTTGTGTTTCTGAGTAATCGTGGTACTACCCCCTCTTGCCTCCTCCGTCTTCGTCAAGATCGCCTCAAAATCCGCGTAAATGACAAACGGGTGCCTAACCGTGTTTTTCCACGCCTTGAACTCGGCACAATCACCCTTCTTAGGCATCTCTGGTAAAATTGGTTTGTGCGCGCCGCAAATCAATTTGTGTTGGTCCAGGGCCTCCTGCCCACTCAACTTGAATTTATGACGTCTGTCGTCGAAACTCGTAAAACATCTCTTACAGAACACGACACTCCCAGTGTGTCTGGTTTTCTGAGCGCGGACCAGCCTGGAAAAATTCGATATATACACGTAGTGAGAGTTGTCGCCGTCCGTCACCAACAACAGATCAAAGTGGTTGGTTTTCTCCTCATCAACGACACGTAGCGGGTACACCTCGTACGTCGGATATTTACGCGGCGGCTGGAACTTTTTGTCCAACCCATACACATTCACAGTGACGTTCGGATTATTTTTTTCAAATTTAGAAATATCCGATAGTGGTGTTGGAAACGAAATATCATCAAAATTATATTTTGCTTCGTGTTGTGTATAGTTTTTACCGACACAATATTTATATTTATCCGATAAATTATCGACCACATGCCTCGCAAGAATCGCCCACTTGAAACATTGCTGGTCATTGTTTTGTGGGTTGATGGTGCCCCGTTTCCTGTCGATGTATGCTGGTAATTCAATATATGACGACCCAGTCATTGGTGTGTAGTTATATATTCCCAATAATAAGCCGTCTATGGCTTCCAAAGTAAAGCCACTACCGCGAGAAACATAAGCGTCTTCCTCAGCTAATAATTTCACGAACGCTTGTTCTACTATTGAGCCGATATCACTATCCGGATAAATTTCGGTTGCTGTTGTTTTAAACGCTCGGTTCTCCGACGAGTTTGGTACGTTGACCCGGTTATAGGTCGCCTCGAGCTTAAGGTTAAATTTAATCGCCCCTTGCTGAACGCGTGTTTTCAATATTTTATTTAGCTCGGGTTCGAGCGATCGAAGAAACTCGGTATAAATCATTGTATTATAAACATTTTTGGCATAGTACCATACAATTTTTCTATTTGCTGAGGACGAAATCTCAACGAAACCGGGGGACTGTACTAGGCTCATGCGCGCTTTTTTCGCCCTAGCAGCCGACGTGGTGTTGGCAGAGGAAACCCGTTTTCCGTTAACGTTGGTAGTGAAAGAATCTTTAAAAAAAAAAAAAACCTAATATTAATATCTAATGAAAATAATAAATTGACTAATCTATTAAAAATCTAATTAACCCCACGACTGATAAATAAAATCTAATGAAACAGCTATTTATCTTTTTAACTTGTGACATTTACAAATAATTTAATGTCACGTATTTCAAAAATCTTTTTTAAATCTTACGATAATAATTTTCAAAAAAATAATCTACGGAGGAAAAATCAGCAGGTCTTTTAAAAATCTAATTAATTCTTATAAATAAAACTAACCTGTATTCTCAAATTCGTCCATTGCCTTCATACAAATAATATCGTCGTCGGATGCCGCATTCGATCCACCGGCCGGAACATCTGGGACAAATATTCCAGGAGCAATCTGAATATGACCTTGTGGAGTAGGCCGGGTAACACTTTGCTGTGCTGGTTGACGTTGAGCCGGAACGTTCACGACACCTTGATCATTTTCAGTCATTTCAGCGAGCATATTATCATACCCATCGTTAAAATATTCATCCAGTTCATTATTATCGACATTTTGAACTTGATATGATGATGAACCTTCCGATACAACATTATTCGGTACGATTTCACCTAGTTGAGGTCTGACACGTGCTACAGCTTAAAAAATAAATATTGAATTAAATAAAGCTAACTTAACCTAACAGCTCATAAAATATACATACCATGCACATTTTTCATATGCCTATTGAGATGTGTCTTGTAGCCGAATGTCGACGCGCAAATAGTACAAGAAAAACGAACACCATTGTGATTTTTTTGGTGAGCAGTCAAATTACCCTTACGCGTAAACGTGGATGGACACTGCTCGCATTTAAACATTTTTTCAAATTTTATAAGGTAGCAAAACAAAAATAAATAAACACTGAGTTCCGTGTAAATAATGTTGAACAGTAAAATAAAAACTTGCTAACAATATTTTAATGGCTTAGTTCGCTGACGAAAAATATACGTGTACAACGGTTTAAGACTGTAGACGTACTAAACGGTTGTAGTAGGATCTTTCAGGACATTTTTGAAAATTATAAAATTTTACAGTGCGCATGCGTACGAAAGGTGCGGGGGTCACCTGGGGTGAAGTCTCTAGAAGTTTAACAGGTGAGGGAAATTTTAGTGCGCATGCGTCAGTGATAGGGGATGTATACTAATAGCCGGTGGTCATCTGAACGATGCGCGTGCGTACGAAAGGTGCGGGTGTAGTCTCTAGAAGTTTAACAGGTGAGGGAAATTTTAGTGCGCATGCGTCAGTGATAGGGGATGTATACTAATAGCCGGTGGTCATCTGAACGAATATGTATTATCCTCCTAGCTTGCAGGCTTTAGTTGAATTATGGAAAGAGAAAGTCGTCGCAGATTTTGGTGGAATTATACGAATAATAGGCGCCATATTGTCGCGACGAATAATAGGCGCCATATTGTCGCGACGGCTGATATATAGTTAGATGTGTATTATTCCTTAGGTAGTAGGTTTTCGTTGAATTATGGAAAGGGAAGTCATCGCAAATTTTGGCTTATACGAATAAAAGGCATCATATGTCGCGACGACGGTTATATAGTTAGTTGTGATTTTCTTGTTATACTTTTTGTGCCTTTCGTCAGCTCAGTATACTCTTAGTCTTATAAATATAAATACGACTTTTATTTACGTGTAATATTTATTATTTTGTTCGTGATTATTGCATCTCTCGCCTGGAAGACGTAAGTATTTTTTTTTTTTTTTTCACATTATTCAAGACTTACGTATAAATCGATTTTTAGATGTCTAAAGATTCATCGTCTAGTTTGTCGTGGTTTAACGGGGATAGCTACAATAGGGATCTTGTAGCGACTCCTCCAGAAGATACACCGCCTTTTTTTTATATGTCACCAGAGAGGACATTTGTATTAGTAAGTATATATTTTTTAATATTATTATATTTAAATTAAATTAAATTATTTATAAAATGTGTATAATCTGGTTTTAGCGGGTTAATAGACCGCCATCAAGGCCCGTCACCCCAAGGCCCGTCACCCCAAGGACCGTCACCCCAAGGCCCATTGCTCCAGCGTTAGATGAAAGTCTACAAGATGCGCAAAGACCGTGGAGTCTACAAGGTGCGCAAACACCATGGTGGTTTAGCCCGCAACTATTACCCGTTAGCCCTCCCCCGCAGCGTCGCCCCATCGGATATTCAGATATGGTAAGTGTTAGACTCAATATAATATAATATAATATAAAATAAACAATAATTTTTAATTTAGACTCAAGATAGCGGTTTCTTTACCGAACGACAATTGCATAGTTCATTATCACAAGTTAGACAACCTTCTACACCTACAACACCGGGGGTATACGCATTGAACCTGATACAGAACATGGAGTTTTCACCATCACCGCTGCGACAATCTCAAATGGACGAATGGCTTCGTTCGTTTTCATCAATACAGTCTTCACCAGATATATTGCCGCTGGATGTTGTAGGCGGCGTGGTGTTTTCAAATTCATCGCGGCAATCTGAGATAAATGAATGGTTCCAATCTTTATCGCCCATCTCCCCTAGTGTGCTAAACATTATAGTACGGTCCCAGATACTCCCGGAATTTGACGTACTAATTTTCGGGAGGATATCAAATACCACTCAACCCAGCCAAAATGCTACTGATTGGGCTGAGGATGGGTATAATGATATCCTGGAACTACACATGATGGCACATGAAGCAGTATGGAGCGGTGACGAAGTGAATCAGCAAATGGATACTAACGAAGGTAAATTACAGAAAAACTTATTTTTTAAATATAATTTATCTTTTGTTTTATATAATATTATTATTTTCAATAAACCTAATATTATTAATTTATATTTTGTTTTTTAGACGAAGAATTGAATCGACATATGGACGAATACGAGGGGAAAAACTAATTTTGCTTTATATAATATGTTTAGATTGTATATTTCTTGTAAAAAATATTGTGTATAATATGTTTAGACTGTATATTTCTTGTAAAAAATATTGTGTATAATGAATGAATGTATATTTCTTGTAAAAAATATTGTGTATAATGAATGAATGTATATTTCTTGTAAAAAAAATATAATTTTATATAATGAATGTATATTTCTTGTAAAAAATATTGTGTATAATGAATGAATGTATATTTCTTGTAAAAAAAATTGTGTATAATGAATGAATGTATATTTCTTGTAAAAAAAAATATAATTTTTATTTTATATA